CTGCTTGTCAGACATCAGCAACAAGTTTTAATGAAAGTAAAGTAAACAGACTTAATAATAAAAAGGTTAGAGGTGAGGTGAAGGTCAGGGCAATAACAGGAATGATCAAAAATGCAGAAATTACCCATAATTCTATGAGAATTATACTTATAATGGTTGTGATTTTTTTCAGTATGTTAGCTCATTTATTTGATCATTTCTTTGTTTTTAACATGTTTGAAATGACCTGTGATATCACCTGTGATGTTAAAAATGAAAGCACACATGACTGACTGATAGTCCTGAAGAGGGGGAGGGGAAAGCTGTTTATCTGAGTGAATCTTTGTGTCTTTCTCTTTCACTAGTTTTGTTTCCTTGTCATCTCTCCATTTAAACTGAATATACACCTGCAATACTGAGTGTGTTTTTTTCATTAAAACTCTAATTAAAACAATTTAAACCAAAACAAAGCCCAAACAGTTCACTTATATCCGTGTTCAGAGGGTTTTGGAGATGATAAGAGACAATGTGGACCGAGAGGAAAAGGTTTTAAAAAAACAATGACGACGATAAAAACGAACAGGAATGTGCCAAAGGATTGTGCTAGGTGTGACTTTAAGAAGTGTTGTTCAATTTGTACATTAGAAGAGTTTTAAGATAAGGTGGTGAACAAATATAAAACAGATTTTTGGTCTTTTCTGTTTATAAAAGCCTGAAAGTCTTCTGTACTCTTCCTTTTTGTCGTTTCTTTGAAATATTTACTCTTCTGTCTTTTGTTTTGTTTGTATTTATTCATTTTGAAATGTGATCTTATTTCTTGTTTAATTCAAACTTAATGAAAGGAGATGTTTTAAAATGTATCACACCAAAATAGGGGTCCTAGGACCCCTTCAGATAGTCCCTCTTTAGTTCCTTTAAAGCTCCAGTGAGGAGTTTTTTGATGTTTATGAAAGACTGAAATTCATAGGGTTAGGGTTAGGATTTGGCTTAGGGTTTTCATTATGTCTTTTCATGATATCTAAAGGCAAACAAGACCATCAGGGACAAGATCAGCAATTTTTACATCCTTATATTTAATGCCTGAAAGTGGTGTAAGTGGGCAGGTTTCAGCCATGTAGCTGAAGAAACAGTCCTGTCTTAAACATGAAATAAATGTTCATAATAAATGACACATTTGACTGTCAAAAGTCAGCAGAATAAGATTTCTCTTGTCAAAAATTAGCATGTAAAGGATGCACATAATTGACACAATGGAGAACTTTTTGCGGGAGCTTTAATGACCATGTGAGAATTTCAAACTGTTTGTGAAAAAAAAAAAAAAGGAAAAACTAGTGCTTTAAATAGAAAAAATAAGTTACTGTACAGCTCTTGTTCTCTGGTTAGCAGGTATATGATTCCATTACATTGTTATCAACCAGCTTTTGACATTCTGTTATTCATCTGTTTTTTTTTTGTTTGTTTTTTTGATGCCGTTTTTGGAGGATGCAGTTGAGCATGAGCGGCACTTGAGTCCAGGAGAAATTTCTCTAAGGGGACCAGAGAGTGTATTGGATCTTTGTGTGTTGTATCTTAGTTTCTAAGATTCTAAAGTTAATCAAAATTACCTCTGTGTGGACTTCTTTGGGCCAGGTCAGCATTGCTTTCCTCCTCTTGATACTCAGACTTTTCTCTTTAACACTGTACAGACTTTTGAGTTCATGCAAATCTGACATTGCTCTCTGGTAAAAACAGACAGATGAAGGTCATGTAATACTTGTGAAAGAGTTTGAGTGTTGCTAGTGCACTATGGGTAATGTGTTTTAAGTGCTGTTATGAATCTTCAAAACAGCCCGTAGCATTGAAAGGAAATTTATAGCAGCCTTTAGGGAGTCCTGAGACACAGGGGAGGAAAGTAACAGAGTCGCTTTTTTGTGTACTTGTACTTTTTTAGGTTGTTTTTACTTTTACTTTTATTCAATATTTTTGTGGATATTTCTCTTCATTTTTTTTCTCTTCCATTAGTAAATGGGTTAAAATACACAAAAAAATTTAAAGTGCTTGACAGCCAGCTGATTGAAGCCTGCGTGGTAAAAACCCAAATCTTTTTTTCTGGTCCTGAGACATTGTCACACTTAGTTTAAACCACACAGACTTGACAGGTCCAAATTTTTAATCTAATCATAAGATATTTCAAAGCAAAATTTTATTGATTAGTTTCTTGAAATAACTGTTATATCTGATTTCAAGAAACACATCAAGAAAAATTTGCTTCCTGCATTTGCAGCTACTTTAATTAATTATAATCAATAAGAGTGTCATTTTTTCTCATCTATGACTCAAGTGATTAAGGATCATTTACAAGGTGTTATATTGACAAAAGATACAACACACATTCATCAAATTCACTGGACAGGGACAGAGAATCAGTTCACACATTAATGCGATTGGTCATGTTATAGCTGTAAGTTTGTGGAAATACACTTTAAGTAAGACGAGAGGCTTAGCTTACCCAAAGGTTATTACTCCAAATCAGGTATTTGCAAAGAAATCCTGTTAACTTTTACTATCATAGACTGACAGACTGGTAACTGTGTACCATACTATACTGGGCCCCTTTAAAACAGTGCTGAAAATAATCTCGATGCCTCCCTAAGAGCAAAGAAGACTGAATTTGATTCTGTATTTTTTTAATGCCTGATAGTAAAGTCAGGGGGTAGGGGGTGGTTCACAGCATGCTGAAGAAAACAACTTTGTTTCAAACATTTTTCTCAGCGAAGGCTCAGTGAGCGGTGTGTTTGAATGTGAAATAAAACAGGATACAATTTTCTGTCAAGAAATACTTTGAACATGTGCACTCAATCATTTAAGAGGTGAGGGTTACAATTTGTGTACTGGAGTGCCTTACAAGAACATCTTGTACACAATGAATTTCTTTGTAATTTTATGTTTTATTGAGAATACAAAGAGGGACAATACATTGCTACTTTCAGTACATAAAATCTTAAACCATTTCAAAGATTAAAAAAAAAAAGAAAATAAGAAAACTAGCCAAAATTAAAAAGTGCATTGCTAGGCATTACCACAGTAATCTTATGACTAAGCGTCATGCTGGAAGGAGTCACTGCTGAAGCTCCAAGTATTCGTGATGAGACATGTGTTATCAGCTGATGTACAGAAATTTATCTGTTTAGCTGGAGGTCAGTTTGTACTGTTGAGTTTGTATCATCACACACCTGAAGGGACCGTCTGTCTCCAGGCGAACTCCAACGCTCAGCATTTATAGCAGTGTGAGACACACCTGTAGTTTCATGCATTCCTAAAAGCTTATGAATGTCTTTTCTTACTGTAAAAACTCTTTTTAGAGGATGACGAGGATATTAAAGTCATTCTAACCAACCTTTTTTACACTTTGTTTGATTGAAACATTTCAAGTTTTTTACGGTCTCTGTCATTTTTCATTTTTATGGTAAGAATATAAAATTAAAAAAACAACATGAGGAACAATATCTGTCAATGATCACAACAAGCCAAACCTTAAATCTTATGACCACACATTTTCTTATTAATCTTGTTCTGTAACTTCCTAAAGTATTCACTGTGTCCTTTGCTTGCCCCGCCCTTGTTTGACTGGTTTCGGCTCAACCAGTTTTAGCCTCCCTCTCTGTTTACTCTATATAACCTGCACCTGTAGTACCTGTGTGATCACTTTGCCACTGTGCTGACACAAGTCACACACAGCATCACCACTGACAGTAGAAAGAGCAACGCCGAGCTGAGGTCATGTCATTAGATCAGGAGGACTGCTACCTGTGTAAGGAGTCTCTGAGGGATCCTGTGTCCATCCCATGTGGACACATCTTCTGCTCCATCTGTCTGAAGACCTACTGGGACCACGCCGACCACACTGGTACATACATCTGCCCAGAGTGCAAGGTCACCTACACTAAGAGACCCACCCCGAGACGCATCGGAGGTTCCCGGAACTCCACCATGCAACGCAACTCTGAGGCCTATCCACCACCCCCTCCGTCCCCGGACTACAACTATGCCGGACCCCAGGATGTAGGCTGTGACATCTGTATCGGCAAGAAGCACAAAGCCGTCAAGAGCTGCCTGATGTGCCTGGCCTCCTACTGCGACAAGCATCTCAAGCCCCATTATGAATCGGCCACTTTTAAAAGGCACAAGCTGGTGGACGAGATCGGCCACCTGGACAGACAGATCTGCCCCCAGCATCAGAAGGGTCTGGAGCTGTTCTGTCGGACCGACCAGATGTGTATCTGCGTGCTGTGTACAGTGAAGGAACACAAAGGTCATGACATGGTGTCTGCTGAGCAGGAGCGCGCAGATGAGCAGGTAAGAAACGTTATACTTACGATATTTTAGTATCTAAAAGTGTATTTAATGTGTCACAATCTGAACTTTTTACCGCTAAAAATGACTAAATATTCCTTCAAAGATGAATGAAGTTCTTCTTTTTTCATGTATAAATCAATAGAAACACAAGCTCTAACTCAGGGCTGAAAATGAATTGAATGAGAGAAAGCCCTTCAAAAACTGCAGTTCCCCAAATGTCCACTTGATGCTGATCCCAGCAGTGAGTCAACCCCCATAGACCCTCTAATTAAAATGCAAGATTTTACAGCAGGATTGAACATGATCACAACCTGGTACAGAAACAGTTTCAGTCTCTGTAGCTCATGTTTCTGTTTGGTTGAGTTTTGACTAGACTAATGTTTATTTTAAGGCTTTAAGATTTACATGTACAGAGGTGAGATGGCTTTAAGTGACAGCTGTTGATGCTAACTTTCTGCAGGATGTCACTTTGGCTAAAGCCACTCATTCAGTTTGACCTTTAAGCTGTGTTTGCAGTGCTGTTTAAGCCTCTTCAGTCCCACAATTTTGGTCAGGTACCACCATAAATAGCCTCTCTGTCTTCCTTAATATCTGTTCCTCCTTAACACAACTTTAATGTCAAAATTTGTGGCTCTTGAAAATCCAGACAGTAACAGCCTGAAGGCTAAACTCAAGGCAGTGTCGCTATGGTAACCACAAACACTCTGAAAGCCAATGTTCCAGCATGTATATGTCATGCTTCATAGCAGTAGTAGGGACACAGTGGCAGGTAATCAATGTAAAAGCAGCAAACAATAAATGGAACCAGCCCACAAACTAAAGCCTTGGGCGTTCAGTGAGACACTCCCCAGTGATAACAAGACTGCTACCTCTTCATATAGAGCTTCCAGGGTCAACACAGAGCTGTAAAATCTTATTGCAAAGGTTAAAAAACACAGATAAGATGATTTAGATGTTTTGGTTGAAAGCTTGACCTGAACCTGAAAGGCTAAGCTGTCTTTTACTGGTTAGTTATGTCCCAACCCTGTCCATAGTCAGAAGCATTGGATAGTGAATATAGTACTGCTAGTATACTGCTAATACAGTACTATAGCACTTCTAAAAAAATAAATATTAACAAGTATTACAAGTAAACAGTACCTTATATGATTTATTTAAGCCACATTTACCTTGAAAGTGACTTACTTTAGGATTTTGCAAGCTGAACAAAGAAGGTGAATTACAATGAGTCCAGTCTTTGCAAGTTTTTTGTCTTATTTCTTGTTAATAGTGTCATATTGGGCTAGATTTTAGCCCCATAACAGGTCCAGAAAAAATATCATAAAAGTCTCCTGTAGTCTTCATGTAAGCCATGTTCATCTAACAAGTCCAGAAAATGGCTTTTCTTAGAGTATTACAAACCAACAACCAAAGGCCCTTAATGTACACATTACAAAAATCTTGAATCAGAATAAGAAAAACATACTTTTCAAGTTTCTGGAAATGAGAAAATGTCTAACTTCAAGAATTTGATTATTAATTTTATCTTATTCTATTGGGAAATTGTAATTATTCTTATTCCAAGCAATTCAGTTCTTCTTTTTGGCTTGAAATACACTGAAATAAGCAATTTCTCTTCAATTTCAGGGGAATATGGCTTAAATAAAGCCAACAAGACTTTTTGTTTAGCATTTCTCTGTTCTTCTCAAGTGTATGTGGCTTAAATTAAGTCTAATATGACATTATCTACCAGATACAAGACAAAAACACTTATTGAGATTTGAGCTTTTGGTGTCAGAAAGCTGGAAATGAGCAGCCTAAGGAGCTCAGACATCTGCAGGGAGCTTCAAATACAGCTGGTTTTCCTTTGTCGGAGTAGTCCTGGCATCTGATTTTGAAGCCTCCCTGTGCCAAGCTTTTAAGGTCTTCCAACTTGGAGACAACCCTCAGCTGGACCCAGACCTCACTTTATAGATCCCATCTGAAAAATGGGATCTATAAATCCTTAGATTTGAAAAGACAGATCCGAGGTGTGTGCAGATCAGCTTTCTACTGCCATTCAGACCCAAACAAGCAGGAAAAAAACTTATACAAAGAGAATGGAAAGAGAGATGAATCTGTGATTTTTCTTTCAATACTATAAATAATAAGCTTTTGTTATTTTCTGATGTTTTGTAGCAACGGCTGGGCGCCACCCAAGCAGAGATCCAGGAGAAGATTCATGACCGACTCAAGCAGATGGAGGAGCTGAAACAAGCCGTGGACGCTCTGAAGGTTTGTGCCACCATCATTTATCAGACTGATAGGACCAGACTAACCACTCCAGACTCAACTGAAAGTTAATTTAACAAGCAGCTCAGACCGCATTCCTCCCTGTCAGAGTGATGACAGTGTCTCTCATTGTACTAATGTGTCACCCACTTGATTAATGGCTTGAATCCCTGTCTCCTGCGTAGAACTCAGCCCAGAGAGCACTGCAGGACTGCGAGAAGATGTTCAGCGACATGATGCGCTCCATCGAGAGGATGCAGCAGGAGATGGCCAAGCTGATCTCCTCCAACAAGAAAGCGGCGCTGAAAATCGCTGTGGGTCACACGGACCGTCTGAGCTACGAGATCGCCGACCTGAAGAGGAGAGACAATGAAATCACCCAGCTGTCCCGTACTGAGGACCACATCCACTTCATCCAGGTGACTGACAACCACACAGCACCACATTTCAACTCCAGACCTGAACCAGATTCTTCAAGTTTAGCCTAATGCATGGTGATACATGGAACATTTTAGACTCTATTTTTCTGTCCAGATACTGATACCTGTATAGCTACTGGTGGGATGAAGAAGTACATAAGTGTCCAAAAACATACTGTTGGCTGACATTTTTTTTAGTTAAATAGTAAAATGTTCTTAGTGTTGGTTTTGGATACCTGACACAGCATTTGTCTTATTTGTTTTTTTAAGACTTACCAAATGCTGATTGCCCAGACTGAGGCTGAGGAGCTGCCTACAGTATCTGTCAACCCTTACTTTACCTTCGACCCTGTGACCAAAGCTGTGTCTGAGATGAAACAGCACCTGAACGAGTTTAGCAATGATGAGCTGGTCAAGACAGCCAAGACGGGTGAGTGCAGAGTACCACAACAACAAGAATCTCCTGTCAAAAATACAAAAAAACAAAAACAAATTACAAGCATAAATTCCTCCAGTTGTTCAGTGAAGTTCCTTCACTATAATAACCTTTACATTTTGTGTTTTTGTAGTGAACAAAATGACCTTCTGCCAGCTGGATGATTCCAAAAAGAGACGGTCAATAGAAAGTGAGTATTTGATTTTCAACACAGCTGGGCTACTGTATTAAAAAATCACATTACTGATTACAAATAAGGTTAAATGGACTGGATGATGGTAGATTTAAAATATCCTTAGTCCTCTAGAGAGCTTCAAGTTTCCTGAATCTTGAGCTTCATTGGAGAGCATCCTGAGGTCACGCTGTTGAAACAGAGTTTAATGTTTACTTTTACTGGCAGTGAGTTCACACACTCTTCTCTCACCCTCTTTGACTCTTCAGATCAGCCACATAGATAAAGAAACAATTTACAGACACTCTAACAGCCAAGTTTTTTAAGCCAGATATCAGAAACATTTATATTACCGACAGAATTTCATCATTAATCAATCAGAAGCCTAAAAAAGGCCAACTATCAAACTTTTTTTCTTTTCAAATCTTTACTTTTCTAATAAGAAATTCCAATTCCTATCTGAAATTTTGACCTTTTTGTTTGTTTGTTTGTTTTTCGTCTGTTTGTTTGTCATTTTCAAAGTTTATTTAGCATTTTTTCAAAACTGGGACCATAATAATTATACATAATTTTTAATTTTTAACATAAAGCCCCCGTGATGAACTTTTGGTTTATGTTAGTTTTGGCACCCCCTGTGGCCAAGCAGGTTTTACTCATCCTGTCCGCTACATGCTTGAGGACTGATTTATGACAACTGATTTTTGACAGTCAAATACATCATTTAGTTTGGATATTTCAGGGCTAAGTCTACAGCTGCGAGGCTTGAACCTACCCCTTCACATGGCTTTTAGTCAATAAAAATTAGGATATTAAAACCTTCAGTCTTGTTGATTATAGTTTTGTTTGCTCTTGTATACCATCAGAAAGCATTATCATTAATTTCAGTCAATTTCATTAATGTAAAAAAGGCCTCATAGTAGCTTTAAGTCTAGCACTTTTTTAAAAATGCTCACAATATTTTTACTTTTTTCTCAAAGTTTTCACTTCAGTCACAAGTCTTTTCTAACCAACTTCTCAGATTTTCTAACATTTCTCGATGATCTTGATGTAAAAGAATGATCAGTGAAATAAATAAGCTCCACAAGTCAAAGCATCATGATCCATCATGCCGTTGTCACTTTGACCTGACATGAAACATCTTTATTTTCACAGATGACGAGCAAGCTCAAGTCATGCACAAGGCTGTCCCGGTCCAGGAACCTCAGCACAGAGATGATTTCCTGAAATGTGAGTCTCAGCTCTTCAGATTGTTTTTTCTGCTCTTTCTGCTCGTTGCAATGCAAATAAGATGCTGATAAGGTTCTCTGTCAGACCCTGTGGCTGACCACAAAATCTGCCTGTAGTAGCTACCAACCGCCCTACAGAGTTGACAGAAACTGGGACTAACTGATAGCAAATACACCAGCTTGCACTTCACTTTGTAGTTTTGCTTCAGTTTGCAGTTTAGGTTGCCTCCCGTGTTTCAACAGTACATGAAAAAACTGATGTTCACCAGGAACACAGATATAAAAACACACTGCAGTCATTCAAACATTACGACTGAGTCACTCTTGGATTAATCATTGTCTAGTTAGTAGCAAATCCTGTTTTTAACAAACTTACAGGGGCCAGTTGTGGCCATGTGAAGAGCTGTTGAGGTCTAAAAGGGGTTTAAAGGATGAAGTATCATCCATTCACAACTCATTGGAAGTAGATAGAAGCTCCAGTACTTGTAATAACCAACAGGGGGCAACCATTGCTCAAGCAAAAGCAATCCTGACTGGATAGAAGTGTACCAGGAAATGAAACCACATCACAGTTCGTGTACTCAGTAGAAGGATGTTTCAAAGTGACTAACTTTCCCTGTCAAATGAGCACAATATATTGAACATGGCTAAATCACAGGGCCTGCAGGTAAATCACGTCAGATTGGTTAGCTGAGTGTGACTAATACCAGCAGAGCTATGACCACTAGCCTTCAGTCCTAGGGTGTTGACGTCCACATTCTTGGTTACACACTGTGAGCCCTGTTGAGCCAACCTAAATACGACCTTAGCTCCATGAATATACTGATGAATCATGCAGCACTATGAGATGCCATCAGACTACAAAGTAGAGTGGGATTTAGGGTATAGCCAGATACGTTTATAGGGGCCTGTTAACTACTCTAGTGAGAACCAATAATATGATACCCATTGCAGTCCCTTCTGGATCCAAAAAATCAAGATGACACTGGCCAAGATAACTATCCCTGGGCCTGTACTTGGAATCAGAGGATTTTATGTTCTCTTATTTATAGATAAAGTTGTATTTTGTTTGTGGTCAAGACTCACAAACAGTGATGATACCTCTGGCATTCCAGATCGTAAACCAGGCCGACATAGCCGAGGCCACCGGGTGTCCCACCAACTGTGACCTGCAGAGGTGGAGGCACACAGCAGTCAGGTGACATCTAACCCCGGGGTTTATACTGATTTCTGTGATCAGCCAGAGGGTCTCACACTTTCTTCATGTGCTGCTTTTGTAGAAGTTTCACTGAAATTTTGGTGCAGTGGTGAGGGGTGCTTTGAGCTGCTCAGATCTGGGTTTCCTTAATCACACCTACTCCAAAAGGTTTTAGCCAAATGTGTCTTTACGCTTTCAAATTAATGCTTAAACGATCTTTCTAGATGCCTGCCAGCTCACTCTGGACCCAAACACAGCCTACAGACAGCTCTACTTATCTCGAGGGAACAGAAAAGCCACCCTGAAGAGAGACCCCCAGAACTATGCTGACCACTCAGCTAGGTTCGACTCCCTGCCTCAGGTCCTCTGTGCGGAGCCTCTCTCTGGAGGAGCTTACTACTGGGAGGTGGACTGGAGCGGAGAGGGGGCGGCGCTTGGGGTCACCTACAAAGGCATCAAGAGGACGGGATACGGGGACAGCTGCCGCATTGGATACAACCGCAAGTCCTGGAGCCTGTTCTGCTCCGACTCCAGCTACTCAGCCCGCCACAACAAAGACCAGATGGAGATCACATCCCCATATGCACCTCGTGTAGGGGTGTTCCTGGACCACGCTGGGGGTACTCTCTCTTTCTATGCCGTAGGGGACACCATGACTCCCATTCACCGCTTTAAGACCACCTTCACCGAGCCTGTCTATGCTGGTTTCTGGGTCTGGTACGAGTCTGCCATCACCCTTGCCCAGCTGTGATTGAAGTAAACACTGACAATGAAAGATGTACAACTGTGATTGAATTATGGTTTAGGTTTAAGAACAAAAATCATCTATCTACTATGAGAGTTCAATGTTTTAATTCTTGTACAGCATTAATTATTTTATTGATATTTTAAACTTCAAATGTTTGTGTTGAGGATCAGGGAGCCGTCCATTATAACCGTGAAGATTCAGCTAATAACACATGTAAATTATAAAATCAGGCCAATGAAGTGCATTTAAATTATAATTTAGAATGACGAAGACTATAATTTGCTGTAATATGTGATATGATCATTTGTAAATGTTTTAATATGCTTATCTCTATCAATAAAGATTTTATAGCCAGACAACATTTTTGTCTTTTTTTTTTTTCATTCTCAGCTCATGTGTCCATCATCACAAACTTTCATTAAAGGTACAATGTGCAGCATTTCACAATATTTATCAAAACAGAACCTTTGATAAAATTAAATGTGATTCATTTTGTTTATTAGTATTGCTAATTGAGTCGTGTTAAATTAGTATAAAATCACCTGAATATAAAAATGGTTGTTAACTTCAAATGAGGTTATGGCAGATAGTACAGACAGACATTTTTGATGGTAAAAACTTGATAAATCTGGGATTATACCTATCATGCATCACAGGACCTGTACCTGAAGACCATTGGAGGGGTGAGCGAGGGAGCCCTTTAGTCTAGAATCCAACTTTTTAATGATGTTAGACATTAAGGGCATACATAGGAAGAGGGATCCGTCCCATACCCAGGTCCATTAAGAACTCAGTCTTACATTTTTAAAAACTCAATAATCAAATACGTTTGAGCTTATCCATTCTTGAGGGTCTCACAAAGTAACTTGATACTTTCATTAAAGTCAGAACATGTTCATTAAATCCATTGTACATGATCATAAATTGACAGTCTAACAAGGTTTTTTCTTTATGTCACTGGCAGCTATATAAAGAAGAATTCTGGTGGTCAGTTTCTTCTGGCTGAACATGCAAAGAGGTCCTAAGTGAAGCTCCATTTTACCAGAGCTAAAGATAGAGATACAGCAACATGCAATGTATGATGCTTAATTATTTCTTGCAAGGGGGAACTCAACCCCCATGACCAAGGATGTTGGCAGCGTGCAACAAATCAAGTCAAAATGCAGAACCTTTGAAACTACTGCTGCTGCTGCAGGGCTGCCACCCTCCTCTTCACCAAAAGCAGCCGGGGGAAGAACAGCAAGACTTTACACCGAGTCCTGTTTGTTAAAATTCATAATCCCATATTGAAATCAGCAGGATAAAAACTAGAGAGGTGTTTACGGTTGAGATGGTAAAACAAGAATAGGCAAAATTGAATAATACCTTGTCAAAATGTGTTCAAATTCATGGAAAAACCCTGAATAAATACAACTATTTGAAAGAAAGCAATAAAAATAACAGAGAAGAATCCCGACATGGTGCACATGCTGTTTTTATTTGGACTCAGGTACACACTTTGTCAATTTCCCCAATTTGATATTGAATCTCTCAACACTGATTCCAAAAACACAAGATGAGATGTTGATTTCCTGTGCGAGCACATGCAAATAACTGGTGGACTTGTCGGTGAATGGTGGATGTAGTCTAGAAGGAGATTATCAGGAAGAATTGAGCTTGTGGGACGCATCATCAGTAGTGTACCTCTGGGTCATGGGGTGTTTCGGCCCTTTACACTATACACCCTCCCCAGAGGCGGCCAGCTGTAGGATGATCAGACCTCAGCTTGCGTCCCAAGCCCAATTAGTCATGAGAGTCACCTGTTGTCTAGCGGCGTACATCTCAGGAGACTATGCACGGCAGGGGCGTCCTGTTCCCTGAGTCAAGCCTAAGCCGACCGCATACCTCCTAGCACACTACTTGGGGGCCCAACTGGGGTCCTTTCTCTTCAGCCAGAGCCACTGGCTGCTTCTTTCTGCCGCCTCTGATGCAGCTTTGACGGCTCTGCGCTGGTTCTGGCCCTTAATTCCAAAGTCCCTCAGTAGTTTTGTGGTGGATGTTCCCACAAACCCTCTGCACCCAACCTCCACTGGGCGGACTTCCGCGTTCCAGCCACGGTGTTTTGCCTCTGCAGCTAAGTCCGCATACCGCAGATGCTTCCGCTCATATGCCTCCTCCATGGAATCCTCCCAGGGTACGGTGAGTTCAACTATGTAAAACCTTCTTCACGGAGGGGGACCAGAGCACTAAGTCAGGCCTCAAGGTGGTGGTGGCAATCTCTGAGGGGAACACCAGCTGTTTGCCGATATCTGCCAGCATCTTCCAGTCCCGTGCAAGGCACAGCTGGCTTCTCTCTGATGGTATGGAGTTGCTCCTGGTAGCTGTAGCCCCTTCTCGGACAAAGGCCGTTGCCCATGGTGTTGTTGAGGACTTCGGTGTTGGCAGAGATAGGGCGTTGATGCTGGATCGTTTTTCCTCCAGCGTGGCAGCAAGGCTCTTCAGGACTTGGTTGTGGCGCCAAGTATATCGTCCTTGGGTGAGGCTGGTTTTACACCCGGTGAGTATATGCCGAAGGGAGGCTGGCTTGGAGCACAGGACGCACCCTGGGTCTTCGCCAAACCACTGATGGAGATTAGTTGGTGTTGGGAGCACGTCGTAGGTGGCTCTGATGGCAAAGCTCAGACTCCTTGCTTCCATAGCCCATACATCCCTCCAGCTCAACTTCCTTCTTTCGACACCCTCCCACCGTGTCCACAGGCCCTGTTTGCCGAGGGAGACTGCCTTGGCCCATCTTGCCGTCTCCTCCTGACGCCGCACTTCCTCCACCACCATCTTCCTCCGTGCTGGAGCAGTGGCGTTTCTCCAGGCTGGGCGGCTGGTTGTTAGCCCGAGGCCTCCTCTTCCTTGCTGAACGTTCCCCACGATGTCAGCATGTTTCAGAGCTGTTGTTGCCTGCTCCACTGCTCTTGCTGGTCTCCACTTGCGCCCAGTGGCCAAGGTTTGTGCATTCTCTCTGACCACCGGATCTTTGGATTCGTTCAAGGTCATCTGCAGTCGTGTTTTGGCACACTTGAACTCCTCCGTAAGGCTGGTGAGGGGCAGCTTGAGGACACTGTCTCCATACAGGCTTATGGTGGTGAGGCAGCGAGGGACTCCAAGCCACCGCTTGACATGGGCTGTGACTGTATGATTGTATGTTGCCTTGAAAAATAAAATAATCTCTCCAGGAACAGGACACAAAACCAGAGCCAATGGTTAGACACCTTAAAACATCATGACAGGAACAAACAAAAGAGTTTTTTTTCTGTTGAAACTTACAGTATGAGTCTCAGACAAGCTCACTGAGGAGAGAGTAGATGTAGGAATCCAAAAATTTCAGCCTTAAGGGAAAACTTTGATGGCACAGAGAGGATATGAAGACCTCCTCTGGACTGCTAAAGCTCGTGCTCAGTGTTCTGTGATATTACATCCCCCAGTATGTATGTTTAGCTGAATTACAGCGTCATAAAACCTCTCTGAACAACAGGGCCAGACTCACATTAGAATCTGTCATATTTTGAAGGAGACACTGTTTGATATTGAGTCTGATATGTTGAGAATTTCTTCATTTACCAAAGTTCAATGAACTTGTTTGTAACTTCAGTTGCTCCTCTAAAGAATAACATAATCAATGGCATCAGAAGTGACAAAAGTTTTACGCAAACTTACATATTGCCATGGTTGATTGTTTAATTCAAGAGGAAGCAGGCAGGAAAAGTTAAATTTTAACAAGTGTTTGTTTACCTGGTAGGGGTGACAGTTTCCTCTGCTGCAACTCTGAATGCAACTTTGACACGTCAAACCATATTATTGTGACCTCTAGTGGAGAAATGGACAAAATGCACACTCAGGTTGTTGTCTGAAAACATTCACCCCATTCTAGGAGGGGTTCTGTAGGGATGATTTATAATTAAAAATGAATAAATAAATGTATTTTTGTTCAATTACAGGACAGAAAACAATCACTGATTAAAAACACCAAACTCAGAAATTTCCATAATAATCTAAAATGAAGTCAGACCTTATTTACACTGACTCCTCCTACCTCATGAGTAAGTAACCATCAGAATTATGTCTATAACTCGAAAAACACAGATGCACCTTCATTTTTCGGCTTTTAAACTATCTTAATTACTCAAATTAACTATAAAAAATTTCACAATTATTAGGGATTTTGACCCGCTCCTGTGCATGGAAAAGTTAAACAACAATAATTTTAAAAAATTGATTAGAATAACAAGCATAGGCTGTAAATAGGTCAAGCATTTTTTTCTTTTATAATGTTTTTGCAATAGGGCGGGAAACCTTAGCCTGAAATATCTTTATAGATTAAAAAACTTAGCAAATACTAATACAACAACAATACTTACAGTAAAACGAATAAATATGAAAATCTACTTTCCACTTACATAATTTTTTCCCTAAACACTACTTTTATTTAGCTATGGTTGAAGACTTACTGGATTCCTGGATTGGTTTAACATGTTAAAGGCGACTTCGGTTAATAAATGTATCCTTTCTTAACTGTATTGCTTTATCTTGACTAAATTTGTTTGTCAAATTCTAAATTACATTGCATGTCCCTATCTTTTTTGTAGGCTAGTATTTTGCACCAGCCTAAATGAGAGGAAATCATTTACTCGGGCTTTTCGTGATTCATGCAGTATACATATTTTCACTTATCTAAGCCCAAATACCAACGAGGCGATAATATAATAGTGAAAACACTAGGAGACTGGTTATATCGACAAATGCTCTAATCAAATCACTGCCTTTATCAGGGACGTCTCATTGGGACCGGAACCAAGTGGCCTGGCCTATTTGCGATGTAAGCAGGTTATAGTTTAAAGGATAAAAGACAGTCTAATATAAACGAACAAAAAACTGGCAGGTAGCTCATCGTGTAATTGACTGAGAATTCTCCACTCTTCACTAGTCTTAACTCTTGAAGAAGTTTTTCCTACCAAGGGCAGTCAGCCTCCAGGGTTTAATAGTGTAAGTCTTTGTTTCCTGCCGGACTCATTTACCCCGCGCACCAGCTGAAAGAAGCGCCGCATTCTCACATTTTATCCAGTGAGGCAGCAGCACAGGTGAGTGTGGACACATACTACAGCTCTTATAGTACTTTAGATCCCAGTATTTAATGTTCCAGTTTCACGGGCTATCAAATTGATCTTAAACCTGAATAACGGGCTGTAGCTTTGACTCCTGTAGTTTTGTGAAACATGATTTAAAAGGAAAGATACGGATGAATGGAGCTAGCTAACCAAACATAAGCTAGCGTTAGCATCGTATTCAGTTGTGCAAACACTGCCTTGAAGACATCAGGCAAGATTTAAGACTATAATCAACTTAAACTCAACTTTCTAACAGTTTAGATGGAGGTTAGAAAACAGGAAAAGAGAAAACTGACCGATTAAAAGAAAAGTAAATACGACAAACGGTCTGATTTCCGTCTGTTGATATGAACTGTCACTATGACAACCACTTAGCGAGAGCAGACTGATTATAAATATACAATTTACAGGTAATAAAGTGACTTTAAATGAACTTTGAAGCATTTTAACTTTCATACTTTTGCTGTAGAATACATGGAAGAAAGGAGGCTATGAAGACCTCCGTCAGTATAGGAAACAGGTCGGGTTTTAGTTCATGCTGACTGGAGATCCAATAAGTCTCATTTAGTATCCATGTTTAAACAGGTTTGTTATAAATTTGACAGAAAGTACAGGAACTGAGTTTCCAAACTCTCAGACCTGGACTCATCCGGGCACAAAACTGGTTTCCATTCAGTATCAAGAATGGACATTACATTCACCAACTTAAGTCATAAACTGGGTCCCGGAGACTCATTACATTAAACAGCTATTAACATCACGACCTTTTTATATCACTAATGTTTGCCTCGTTTTAGTTGTTACATTGCTATGTAGTGACTGGGAGATTTGAAGATATCAAACATAAACTCAAGACTGTTCTCTTTGAGATGTAATTTAAAATACCATGTATCATGTTTTATATTTTTATTTGGTGACATTTTAAAACTCTCTCTCTCCGATTTCTTAGATGAAAATGAGAACCCAATTGCACCCATAGATATCTGTCAGTTAATAATCAATCAGACGTAATTTATACTTTACATACAGCAGTACTGTTACAGATTATGGTTGTTCACTGCACGTTACACGGTTACTTCAAGTTAAGGTTATTTTTAGAGCTCAATGATTTATCAGTGATCAATGATAAATATGTTACAAAGGAGCAGGCTGGGTACATTATTTAAAATATATTTAAATCATCTTTTTACTTCGTAACAGTATAGAGATGTAATGAAGGGGGCTGCGCTTGCACAAGAGAGTATCAGTACTGGTCAATACTTGGTCTAATTGCAGATATCAAGCTCCCAGGCAAATAATTTTGTATTCACCAATTGCAATGGCTTTTATATATCAGTAATCATATGGTGGCAAAGTTATACGTAATTTTATATTTAGCTCATTGAAGTGTTTTTACTTCTGGAAATCAAAAAATACCATTTGCAGTAGAAAAAAATCATGAAAGAATAGTGGACCCATTAATATCCATAATGATAAACTAGTATTTTATTTCTTCCTTTTGAACGATTCTCATTTTAGAATTTGATTGTAATTGAACAGTCTGTTTTTCAATCATACTATTAATGAGAGAAAAGGTTGACCAATGGCTGACATAGAAGCTTGATATCATGTTGTTGCTGTTTGCATAAAGCAACATGCAACAATTTAATACTAAGAATGAGAAACACACTTGCCCTTCTTGAATAAACATTTCAGATAGATAAATGAATAGACAGATTCAGACAGAAAGATATATGACTGTTTATTATTGTCATAAAAGATTAATAATTTCTGTTCAGCTATCTCTAACTATAAAAAAGAAAAAGGCACAAGATAAATGCTTGAGTTGAAGGTACAAAAAGTAATGTACAGTTTCATTATTATCTACACGTGAAAACTGAAATACATGTTTTTTTTAGCCAGTAACGTTTTCTCTGATGGATTTTTAATTAACTCATAAAAGGACAAAACATTAAAGTTTTCTATTTAGTTCAAAACATGATTGATTTTTCTGTCTGAAGCAATATTCAACCGCATTATTACAAACTTCATAATAGACTTTAGATTAAACAGCAACTGTTTTAAATTTAAAATGGTGTCATTTAGGAGGGGAGAAATGTGTTTGCATTATGGAAAGATGATAGTTACATTAGACTGTAAGGGCTGATTTTGATGTGATGTTGATTATTTCAAATTGCCATAAAGCTGACCGTGTTTGTGGCTTTGTGTGTGTATAATAGAGGGAAAAGGACTTTTGTCTTGTGTAAAAGTAGGTTAAATTATAAGTACTTTTAAAATCTGTGTAATTGAATTTGTGCTCACTCAAAGATTGTGCAATGACGGCCTGATGACTTTAATGCAGTTACCTAAGGTTTGATGATGAACGTGCATTTGGATAATAGCTAGCATTGTTGAATTCCATTAACTTTTGCATATTGTTTAATTATTTCTCTACAACATGATTGTTCATTCTATAATGAAGATCTCCTCTTTCTCTGTTCATAACTGGATGTAGATGGCGACTACAAAGGTACCAGAGGTGCGGGACATTGCACGGATTGAAAGAATCGGTAAGCACGCACAATGACACTGGCATCTTGAAAGACTTCTATTAAAACACGCTAGTGGTTGCTGAATGTCCCTTACGAAAGATTGGCTCTGATGCATGCTGATAAACTATGTATCTATGGAAGGTTTTTCACCCTTTTCCAGCTGTGACTAAAATGTACTTGTTTATTTCTACTTTGTGTTCAGGGGCTCACTCTCATATTCGTGGCCTTGGTTTGGATGATGCTTTGGAGCCAAGACAGGTAAGATTTATTCTTTGTTATACATAATCAAAGACTTGTTCTCACTGTGGTTGGTATTGAACAGGTTAATACCTAAAGAGATATATTATAGAGTTGATCTTTGTCAGGAAATTCTGTTTCCTTGGATTTCAGTGTTTGCCAAGTAGTAGTTCACCCTCAGATTAATTGTTTTTGCTAAAGACATTTTAAATTAAAGCACAGAAAGGTAGACATGGGGTCATTCAAATGTCTTGGTAATGGCTTCATGCTTACCTGTTCCTGTCTCTCCTGCAGGTGTCTCAGGGGATGGTCGGCCAGCTGGCCTCTCGTCGGGCAGCGGGGGTCATCCTGGAGATGATCAAAGATGGTCACATCGCTGGCAGAGCAGTGCTGATCGCTGGCCAACCTGGCACAGGGAAGACTGCCATCGCTATGGGTGAGCAGCACACTGGAGGTTCTCCAGAACACAATATCTTCTCATTATCCTCCCTGGAAGTCGTCCTTTACTCCATGTTGATGTAATTGATTCAAGTGGTGTATATGTTCAAGCAAAAGTTCCTGCTCCCGGGTTCAAATGAAATTTTGTTTCCATGCAGGTATAGCCCAGTCTCTTGGCCCTGATACACCCTTCACAGCGCTGGCCGGCAGTGAGATTTTCTCCCTGGAGATGAGCAAGACTGAAGCCCTGAGCCAAGCTTTTAGGAAAGCCATCGGTGTGAGGATCAAGTAAGTGAACAAACCCAGTGATTGTGTCTTAGTTAAGTAGTAAAAAACAGAAAAAAATCCTCATTGTTTGAAAGGAATCAAAGTTCATTCAGTGGGTTTCTTTTTCAGAGAAGAGACAGAGATTATAGAAGGAGAGGTGGTGGAAATCCAGATCGATAGACCAGCCACTGGAACGGTAGGTCGAAGCAACACGTCCACTCTTAAAAAAACAGAGTTACAGTGAAATTTTTAATCATCTCTTTGCAAAATCATGATAGATCAACAAATAGAAACATATAACCCAGTTGGATACTCAAGAAAGATTCTGCATTTCAGGGTGCCAAAGTGGGCAAGCTGACCCTGAAAACAACAGAGATGGAGACAATATATGACCTGGGCAACAAGATGATTGACTGTCTCAGCAAAGAGAAGGTTCAAGCAGGGTGGGTGAATTGTGCAGGCAGTGTTTTACACACATACCTGTATCAACCCAGGACTTTCTAATAACCACATCTGATCTCAACTCCCTCTCTTTATTTTCTTTTAGGGATGTAATCACTATCGACAAAGCCACAGGAAAGATCAGCAAGCTGGGCCGCTCCTTCACCAGAGCCAGAGACTACGACGCCATGGGAGCTCAGGTATCTGGTCTCTGTCACATCGAGAGAAAAAACAAAAACTGCTGCAGACAAAAATGATTTATTTTGTATGTTTAACTGTGAAGGAATAGATCATTTATACCTAACAAATTAAGTTATTTTACTGGTCATAAGTGTGTTTCTTCTGGGTTCATCTGAAAATATTATATTTTCTGACCTAAAAAGTTGACCAATGAGACTTTAAATATCCACAGGGATGTTATTTATCTTGATGAGCTCAGTCAGCCATGTTGCTGATTGTGTTGCTGTGCTGTGAGTGTTCTCCAAAGTAACAATGTTGATTAACTGAAAACTGAGAACAATGTGCTGAGGATGTGTTGTGTTGACATTTTTCCTGGCATCTTGTTGGGTTGGTGTAATTTGAGTCAGGGAGGCTGCTGCCAGCTACAAGGGGCTGAAACCACAGGAAGTCAGCTGTAATTTCCTAAGTAAAAACTGCAATATTGTTGCATTATCATAATTGTTATGATCCAGTTTGTTCCATGTGTAGAGATCAGAGGTGGCACCTGCAGAACGGTTTACTCTTCCTTGCAGACTGAAGTTAAACTGGCTACAATTTGTTGTGATGGTCTGAAACTATCCTTTAACACTTCATTTTGCTACCAGATTTTGAATATGAGTGAGAAAGAGTTTAATGAAAAGAAATGACGTTCTGGAGAAGACTCCAAGTGGTGCTCTTTTACAAAGAAACTCAATAAAACAATCAATCATTTTAGCTGTTTGTAAAAAAAAAAATATATATAGAATGTATCGCAAGAATACACAGAACACAGAGACGCTTAACAGAGTAGTGCTGGTACTGTTCTTCGAAAAGTCCAGTGGTTTTAAATAAATGAACTTCTTGATGTAGAAAATAAGAGAGCTATAGCCTAAAGCAAAACATACAAATGTTTCTAAAGAGTAAACAAATATCAGATAATGATGCAGAAAAGACATGAATTCATGCATAAATATTCACTAAAGATCAAGGAATCAAGTTATTGTCATCATAGTTTCCTGGTCAAGGAAGATCTCACAGATCTGTACTCACTGAGTTTTCTGTGCTTGGTGGCTCGAGCCAATCAGGCTTTGATTAAACTAGCGTTATTAGCACTAACTATTCACAGTAGGTCATTTATTTATGCAATCATACATTCCATATACATTATGCTTCGTGCTCTGTGTTATCTTGCTTTTGTCCCTTTTGACAGTTACATCCCTGGTATGTGCAGATTGATCCAGAATACACGATTCAATAAACCTCAAAAACACATCAAAACCACCACAGAGATAAAACTGAGGAAGAAACAGGTTCCAGTGTTTCAACACAGCCTTCTGTTTTTACCCCAGTCTGCTGTTATGGTCACATAATTATATTACATGAAACATCTCCTCTCAGCATGATCCATTCATTTCTGAAGAATTAAATATGGTAAATAGACCATAAACTTATTTGTATTTTAAAGAGAATCAGCTTTTAAAACTACTTTCCCTTGTATTTTTTTTTCGTATTATTCTCTCGTCACTCAAGAAAAACCAAAGACAAATTATCATTTTTCAGGCTGTGTGTACATGTCCCTGAAAACACGCCATTCCTTCATTAAATAGAACAAGTTTGCGTCATTTCAGAGGTGGCTGATCGTGCTTAGTTATTTCTGTCTATGCTGTCACAAATTTAACCTTAAACAATAGCAGAGTTTCAACAGCTATTGACCTATTGGTTTTTAGAAGACTCAAAAGTCTGGACTTGCTTGAAATGGTTTTCTTAATGTTTAAAATTCTTTTTTTGCTGATCTTTAGTCAGTTAAATGAGCTGAATTTTTTAACACTGTTATTCTTGGTGTTGTCTCCGTAGACCCAGTTCGTCCAGTGTCCAGAGGGTGAGCTGCAGAAGAGGAAGGAGGTGGTCCACACGGTGTCCCTGCATGAGATCGATGTCATCAACAGCCGCACACAGGGCTTCTTGGCCCTCTTCTCAGGGGACACCGGAGAGATCAAGTCTGAAGTCAGAGAGCAGATTAACGCCAAAGTATGCGAGTGGAGAGAGGAGGGCAAGGCAGAGATCATCCCTGGGGTACGCTCATCTCTGTGTCCATGTTTCTTTATTCATGTTATTCCTGGGATTTGACTTGACTCTTTCTCTGTTTGTGCTTTCAGGTGTTATTTATTGATGAGGTCCACATGCTGGACATGGAGTGCTTTTCCTTCCTGAACCGAGCCCTGGAGAGCGACCTGTCTCCAGTCCTTATTATGGCCACAAACAGAGGCATCACTCGGTATAATAAAAAAACATCTTCATCCACCTATCACCTGATTATTCAAATGTGATTTACTCTAGGGGAGTTATAGCAGGTGTTCTTATGTGACTGAGAAAAAATAACCTCCCACATCTGTGTATTAACATGGATTAAGAAAATGCACTTACAACCCTGAAATAGGGTGTTAAGGCCTTGCATCATTATAGTTTCTTACATTACTATTTATAGGTCACACATAATAACTATGCATGAAATTTTTTTTGAAAAATGTATCAAACCTGCTGCTCACACCATTTTAAGAGATTTCATGACTATGATGGTTTTGAGCTTCCTCTTTTCTATAGAACAATTACTGATCTGAATTTGTACCTTAAATGCTTTATCTATATATCTATATCTCTATATATACAAACACAAGACAATAAATATAAATATATATACACAAGACAAAAAAAATACTTGCAGAAAACGAAAAAATACCCATCACCTTGGACCTTATCTTACTGCATAGCCTTGGTGTTTGGCTGCATGTGATCAGTCTATTGTAGAGATGGGTTTATGGTGTATACTTGACTGAACAGCATAGTGTCAGATGTGACATGACAGGTGATGTAGGGAGCTTCTAACAGAAAAGGCTTTCTGACAGTCTAGAAAGTTTGATATTGAACCTGTTTGATCAGTGAGTTGTGTGTTAGAGAAGAGAAGGGATGAGCTTAGATAAAATGTGATGCACATCACAGAACTATTTTTAAAATAATGTGTGAATCGTGCACCATGCAGTGAAGTCCGACAGACACTTTGCAGCATCACACTGGGTCTCTGATCTGTGAGATAAACATCAATAATGAAACGTAAGACATGAAGCCCAAGAATATCCTCAAACAGCTACCAAACCGGTTCAGTCATGTGTTCTGTCTGCAAATGTGGCAGTTGATGACCTTTCTGTGCAACATCTTTGCATTAGAATTAAAATGTTTAATACAGTAGGCTACATTTGAACAAAAGTATAAATAGATCTTCAGCCCCCCAATTTTTTCCCTCTAAACAAGGAAATACTCAAAGTTTTGTAAGCCTTCATCTGCTCATTACAAATATTTTTTGGGTGTGAATTTCTTTTTCAAACTGACTGTTGAAAGATTTAAAAACCCACCAGATTAATCATGTAAAAATCCTGTATGGACTAACCCATGATGGACGTATCAACAACAGTTAATACGCTTATTGATGGACCCATGGTAGAAAAGCATAAACTTGTGTTTTCTGAGCAGGTATTAATTCCTCAAATTGCTGCAAAAAGTGTGAATCCCAAAGATGCTCTCAGACACATCCTTCCTGTATTTGGATAAATCAAACAAATTTGATGTGTCACTGTTTACTCTGAGCACTGATTCTGGGTCTGGACTCTTTCCTCTTTCAGTATCCGTGGCACAAACTACCAGAGTCCTCATGGCATCCCCATTGACCTGCTGGACCGTTTGCTCATCATCGCCACCTCCCCGTACACAGAGAAAGAGACGAGGCAGATCCTGAAGATCAGGTGGGAGACTCAGTTTATTGAACCCCAAGAGAAGTTCATGGTTGCTTCTCCTAGGGTTTGTAAAAAGGAAGTAAACCTGCATGTTTTTCTTTCAGGTGTGAGGAGGAGGATGTGGAGCTCAGCGAGGAGGCTCACACTGTCCTCACCCGCATTGGCATGGAGACATCGCTCCGCTACGCCATCCAGCTGATCAGCACTGCAGGACTGGTGTGTCGCAAACGCAAGGTGAGCTCAGTCTGGATAAGAGGGTTGAATCAATGAAGTAAATGTGTGTCAAAGTCAGTGTTGTTTGCATTCATACAAAGCCTTTTGAAGACTTGGATATGTCATATTTCCACATTGGAGTGAGTTTCTGTTGCCTCAGTGTCGTTATCTTCTGTGTTTTGTCTTCTGTAGGGGACAGAGGTCCAGGTGGAGGATGTTAAGAGGGTTTACTCTCTGTTCCTGGATGAGGCCAGATCCTCTCAGTACATGAAGGAATATCAGGATTCCTTCCTCTTTAATGAAACACGTGAGTCTACTGTTCACCCTCTCGGTCCCTGGTAGAGGCAGGATGACTCTGCTCTGAATCACACACAAATGCAGTCTGTGTTGACGCTGATGGGTACCAGCACAAGCAAAATCAAAGTCATAGAGGACATTGAAATGCTGAGACAGACTCAGATAGGCCTGGGACAATAACCAATAAGCACAATAAATGAACAATACATTTTTCCAGCCTCGATATATCGCCATGTGCATGCGTGTCTTTGTTTTCCTCGTCTCGCGCCTCCAAACACGGTAGATAACAAGAGGGTCCACTCTGTGCATCGGTCTAAGCACCTGGCACAAGCACACACACAGACAGGCAAGTGAGCCTCCTGAGGAGCATGGAAGAGCTTATTGCCAAACCAAATGCCACAGCCCAGGTGTGGGAGTATTTCGGGTTTAAGCCCAATGAGCAAGGTGGGACCATCAACACAGACGAGCCAGAATGCTGACTTTGTTTAAAGATGGTAGCGACAAAAAAGGAAACACGACAAACTTGAATGTCCACCTCAAACACAATCACCTGGTCGAGTTTGCCCAGCTGGGGAAAAAAACTGCACCCTGAGATGCAGAGCCGTCAGCCCAACAGTCAACATTTACTGAAGCGTTTGGTCGACAAAGCAACTCCAGTTGGGATAGCGCAAAATGTCCCAAATGTCGACAGTAATATAAGTTATCGTCAATAATTTGTGGTACAATATATCGTCCAGCAAAGTTTGATTTCGTCCCAGGCCTAGACTCAGAGGTCTCTTCTGGAGAAGTTTTTTTGTTTTGGCATGCTCACTAAAAATCAAACCCCAGTGAAGATAAGAAAACAGTCCAAAAAAGTGGAGGGCTGCTCTATTTTAACTCTCATGTCTAGAGAGAGAAATTACAAGGAGCAGATAAACCCGAACCTTGAAAAATAGAAGACAGAGAGTTTTTATAAGTTACATTTACATAGGAATTAAGCAAAGTTGGCAAAAAATGTTGTATAAAGTATATTTGTTTTTTTACGTTTCAGAAACAGCTCAAATGGACACCTCATAATGAAGACAGCTGCTCTGTTTGTTACAGTTTGAAATTTCTACATTGGAAACCCTGAGGTTGGAGTCACTTCAGACCTGGATTGTATTAAATTTGGATTTTCTGTTAAGTTACCTCTAAAATTTGGATTAAATGACCCGATTCTTTATTTTTTTAAAACCTTTTTTCCTCCTTGTTCATCGCTTTATTTAAATTCAAATTAATCCATGAGATCCGACTCGACCCTGAATTGACCTCAGCTCTGATTGTCATTGAGGCCTTGTGGCAGGAATATCAGTTCCTTCAGTGTTTTGTTCCTTTTTTCTTGTTGACTTTTCTTTACATTGTTTATTTTTATGGAAATAAATAAAGGAGCTTTTCTAAGCACACTGTGATTATTGTTTTGTTTCTTTTTGTTTCCCCTCTTTTATTTCATTATAGAGTGAAAGTATTAAAAAATACCACCTACAGACACAGTCATGATGTGAATCTCAGACTGAAACTCTGCTGTAGCTCCTGATTTCTGCTAAAAATGTTAAAATAATTTTTCTTGTTCTTATGAGTTCTGGAAAAATAATACATTTAAGCCCACTCACACTTAAGAGTTTAACTCCAGTTTGTTGTCAGTGTTGCAGATGCCATTGGAATCCTTCACAACACATGAATAGGGAATTAAATTTTTCAAAGAATGATGTTATGATCTCATGATTTACACAGTCAATGGTCTGAACTGTTGGCTTTGCTGACCCACAATTTTAGTTGTTATTGCAACGCGTGGTCCTTATCTGCAGACTGCAGAAATATGGAACAAATGAACACAGAGCACAAATGGTAAGCTTTGATCATAGCCCTTTGAGTAGAGCATAAATAGAGGCTGGTTTTACTGCCTGCTTGCTCACAGCAACTTAACAGACTGAATTTGACTTAAGTCTCTCATTTGCTTTGTTAGCAGGTTTCCCTGCCTGGACAGATCTCTATCAAAGTCCAGGTTTTTCCCTCAGATACCTTGATGATTCTCTTCAAATTCAAACATAATGCTCTGCTCTTGCTCTCAGTTACTGTTAAAATCTGTGAAAGTGGCGTCTGTTTTATCCCAGCAGGAACTGTAGCTGAACAAGACGACATGAGTGTGCATGCAGGCACATGCAGCCCCAGCTCTCTCTCTCTCTCTCTCTCTCTCTCCCTTTCGAAAAAAAAAAAAATAAGAATTTGATATAAAAAAAATATTTCGGCTGTTGTCACTCACCTTGTCTTTTTTGTCTTACTGTGGATTGGTGTTAATGAATGATATCTCCCTGGATATAAGGAATGATTACAGCAACCAAATTTTCATCATTGTGCAACTATTGTTGGAAATAATAATAAGAATAACTTTATTAATCCCTGAAGAGAATTTCAATTGTCTGTTGTGTAGCAATCAAGACAACCCTGGGTGTGAAACCCACACATTCCTCAGAGGGAAGTTTCCTTATCTGGTCCCAGGAAACAGGATATAAATCTTTCCAGACTCGTTTACACTTTCAGGTTAAATAAGTGACCCAACCGGAGGTTGACTAAACCTCCGACTCTTCACGATTGGTCAATTCGGAGAACAGAGACAGAGTTTTTATTACCTTTCAAACTGACTCCATTTGCTGACCATCTAAATAAACATTAACCTCAACCCAGATCTCCCATTTGAGATTTACGACTTAAAGTGTGTGAACATACGGACCCCAGGAAAAGGGGGGGACACTGACCTCCAGACCTCGGTCGTAAAACCCTGCTCGACCATGCACTGATAAAGACTACATTCCTTTGGTGAAAGAATACAAATGACTGATCATGACATCTTATGCATTCAGCAATGTACTAATCTGTCTAATCATGAACTTTGTGTTAAAATGAGATGTTTCCCGTTTTTCTATGTGCTTCAGAAGCCAAGTTATCTTATCTGACAGAATAAATCCTTATTCTTTAGTTCTTTAGACCAACAGCTTTTCAGACTGTTTCATGAACTTTTAAGAGTTAAATTTATTGACTATGAATCCTAAGTTTACTCTAAGTAACAGAAATAGTTTAGAAATGTTTGGTTTATATTTTAGTTATTTATTTAGTATCTTAACCATTAGGTGGTTATAATGTCACTGAATAATCTGAATGTGAGTATTTAGAATCCATTATTAATCATGATGACGTTCATTCACATGTGTTTACTCTTTTGTTGTTCACAGTTTCTATGTGTTACTATCTGTTTCATTTCAGAGTAATTTAGCATGTTCAATGTGATACTTAAAACATAATGAGAATGTTTGATGTGATCCTACACTTCATTCATATGTGTTTAGTATCAAATTATTTATCATGAAACCAAGCATTCAATGATATTAATCATAGTGAGTGAGTATCAGATCTGACTCTTTTACCAGCCAAAAGAATAAGTTAGATCAAATAATCAGAGACCCGATGACCCCTCCTCTTTCTCCTCAGACACTCCCAGTGTGAGAAGATAAAACCAGTGGAGTGGGGTTGCTCTCTCGCTTATTCCTCTTATGCTTCTGCTCTTCTGCTGACTCTCTTGTCCCCGGCTCTTATGCCCCTTCTCTTCTGTCCACACCCTTCTGTGGTGCGTTTCTTTGTTTTCTCTTAGAACTTTTCCTTAGTCTTCTAAGTTTTACGCCACGTGTTGATTCACGTTGATTTTTCTTTAACATCGTCTTAGTTCAAGTTTTGAAACTTCAACTTTTTGTGCGCATAGCAATTCAAGATTAAGCCTTTGATTGATTTTTCTTTAATTTCGCGAAGCCATTTTTGAAAGTTTTCTCTGCTCTTCGAGCCTCGTTTTTCTGAGTTTTCTGCGTGATTTCAAAGTCACCTCTGAACGCAACCCAGCAGGCCCAGGTCATCCTCTGTGCCAGAGTTTTTGAGTGAGACCAAAGAAGTACCCAAACGAGCATCCACAGGATCCACAGGCGCTGGCTTTGCTTCGGGCCCGAGTGCTGCAACTCCTGGCTCATCCTTCGGCTGACTTCAGTCGTCTTCTGAGCTGAACCGCTCGAACCGCCAGTAGCCCCGGACCTTCGGAACCTGCTCCATCTTCTCCAAGGACCAGTCTCACTTAAGTATGCAAACCTCCAGAGCTCCAGACAGGGCTGATGCTGTCTCACGCGTTCATAACTCAGATATCCACCTATTTCTGGTGATCTTAGATTCCTCCAAATCTACACCCGAGTTTATCTCGACACCAAAGTTAGTGTAGGTTAATATGTTAGCGCATATTCACTCACTATCATTAACTTTAGTGCTCCTAGCCTGACTCAGAATCTTTATTTATTCACCTATTATTATCTATCTTCATTATCTTATCATCATTTATTGCATGTGTGTTGTACCATCATTTATCCTGTAATAAACAGATCATTATTTTTCTAAGTTCCTGTCTGTTAGTGTTCTTCCAGAAGTGGAGTCCCTGAAATTAGAATTTCGACTTAAGATATGAGACTGATTAATTAAGACTGATTAATTAAGACTGATTAATTAAAACTGACTTGATGTTTGATTTCTGAATTAAACTTTTGTTTTCTTTATTTTCCCACCATTAAGGGTGGGTGGTGCCCCTTTCAACGAGTACATAAATGTCATAATTTGAGATTATTAATCTTCAGACATTTATTATAAATTCCAATCGCTACAGTGTTATTTTAGTGCGGCCTTGTGAGGCTCATTTCAAATCGCTACATATATTTTGGTGCGACCGTGTGAGGCTCATTTAAATCACTACATATATTTTGGTGCCCCGTGTGAGGGGTTTCAAACAAAACTTCTGGATACTAACAGACAACCTAAAACTTAGCCTTCCAAATTGATGAGAGAAACTTATTTCCAGGCTGTTTTAGACTTAATCACTATCAATGCTATGCTTGCTGAAGTTGCTTGACTAAGTTCTGATGTTTTCATGATCTATGCATAAAACCTTTATGCTCTGTGTTTCACACACTCTTGTACTACATGCCTGTAGTCTGTGTTTGAGCTGGACAGCGTGAAATGTTGTTCTGAGTAGCAGTGAGACTGACTCCTCTGCTCTGTCTAGACTGTCCAATATTTAAGTGCACGATTGTTGCGTCGCTGTACGCTTGTATTTAAGGCCTTTGGCTGAACCCAGTGTTCGCGATGCTCCGAGCTGTGGTTTCAAGCCCCTGAAGTCTCTGTAGTCTGCTACGAGGTTCTAGTAACTATATGGGATTCAGATTTCCTCCTTTCCCCTGACAGATTAGCTACCTGTCACAGGAAACCACTGTAACAGTGGGAGGTTGTTGTTTGATTGAATTCAGACAAAATTTGTGTTCACAAATCGCCGCATTTGTGATTTTTAAGTCTGCAGTTGAATCTGCTGTTGAGGGATTTGTCACTTTGATTCTTGTCTCTATAGTCTGCTACGAAGTTCTAGTAACTATATGGGATTCAGATTTCCTCCTTTCCCCTGACAGATTAACTACCTGTCACAGGAAACCACTGTAACAGTGGGAGGTTGTTGTTTGAATGAATTCAGACAAAATTTGTGATCACAAATCGCCGCATTTGTGATTTTAAAGTCTGCAGTTGAATCTGCTGTTTAAAAATTTGTCACTTTGATTCTTGTTCCTGTAAATGATTTTATTGAACCAATCTGCCTGAGCAGATGGTGTAAAGTTCTATGTTTGAGGGTGCAGACGCAGCCTGCTGTGAAATGTTAACCCTTTGTTGTCAGTGGAGAGACTGACCATTTGGCCTTAAGCAGATAAGGCCCTTCAAGGAGGCAGAGCCTAAAGGCCCCTTCCTGCACACTTCCCAACTCCTCACAGCCACAAGAGGCTAGTTGGATGACTGTTTCCTCTTTTCTTCTTCTTCTCCACTTGTGTTGAGCTTGTGCAGCTATCCCAACTCCATACTGCCCCACATGGTTGCTTTTGGTATTGAGCTAACACTGCTATTATCTGCCTGCAGTATCAGCCAGCTGTATTGCCTCTCTGTAGTCAGTGTGTAACACTCTACAGACATAATTCAAGTGATTGACTTGGTTGATGAAGTTTGATGTGCTTATTCTAAATCATTGATCATTGATTTTTGATTTTTATCTTTGTTATAAGAGCCTCCATAATGTATTGATAAAGTAACTCCTTGAATCAATCACCTGATCTTGTTGTTACTTATCACACCATTGAGCAGTTTTACTGTTCCCTATAATACATGAATGTATTAACCCTCCTCATAAGATTAATTAATTAATGAACAAATTAATTAATATTTGAAATTTCTTTTAACATTCCAGATGGATTTGGGTAGTTGAACCTTTGGATTTATTGCAATTTGTGAATTAATTTCAGAGTTAATTCCTTAAATTGACAATTTCATTGATTTTTCAAATTCATCCAACTGC